CCTGATGCAAATATCAGCACCTGTGGAGCCTGCTTCCTCCTCCCTTAGCTCTTCCCTTCTCCGTGCCTCCTCTGAACTCCTCCAAACCCATGTGACGCACTGCACCGTGAGCACCTGACGCAGGACCCTCCTGTGCCACTTCTGCGTCCACAAGCTGATCTCCGGCAGCTTACCCAGAGCTGGTCTCCAGCAAGTGCCGCAGAGGTGTCTGCGGAGTCAGTGACAGGATGCAAACTGCAGAACAGTCAAGCTGAAAGCGTCAGCACAGAGCCCAACACAGGGCTCGAACCCACGAACCATGAGATCATAACCTGAGCTCAACCGACTGAGCCCCCCAGGTGCCCCTGTATTAGTGATCTTTTTTAAGTCAAGCCTTTGCTTCCACAGATCCTATAGTTCGACAAGTTCGGTTTCATTGTTTCGTTTAATTGGAGAATAATGCATGCCCACGAGATATTTGCTAAGCAAGTAAAGGTGGCACAGAACAAGCCCCACGCTGAGTTGGGGGGTTGAGGTGGGGGGGGGTCAGGCTCCCCATCCCAAGGGAGCACTTCCTGCCTGTGGGAGCCTGAGCCCCAGGCTGGTTCTGCAACCCTCCAAACACCCGCTCTGCCAGATTCCCGGTAACATCTCAGGATGAGCCATAACTGGGGGAAAGGGACACCATGTCAACATAGTAGAGCAAAATAGCATTTACACATTCTGGAGCTCACAAGGAAATGAGCACAACTAGTAAAAAGTCTATTTTTACAGAAACAACGTTGAGGATGCAGTCTTTTCGCCCCTCCCCCAACAGGCACGTGGGGGCACTGCCCCGGGATGGGGTCTGGCCCTTGGCCCTACCTTTCTGCATCTGCTCTGAACACAGCTCTGCCTGGAGGAACCAGATACCGGCAGGAAAAGGGTCCCCCCCGGCACCTGCTGTGGGTGGTGAGTGTGGGCGGTCTGCACGTGTTTAGTGGGAGATGTTCCTCAGGCAGGATGACTTCCCTGCCCTCCCTCCTGTCCCGGAGCTGGAACATTCGGAAGAAAGGATGCTCCAGGAGGCCCTCTGGTGATGGCTCAAAGTCCAAGAAGAGCCAGAGAGGCAGCCAAGCCCTGTCCCCAATGCAGAGCGGGCCTGGACAGAACTGGAGGCAACAAACGGCTGAGCCAGGTGGAGGATGCAGAGGGGAGTCTGTGAGGGGCTGTGCGGAGGAGGGGGGTCCCTGGGGAGCCCAGCTGGCTGGAACCATTAGTCCCTGCCAGTCTGGCTCACTACCAGGCCTGAGGGCCCCTGGGGCAGAGGAGACGCAGAGCAGCTGCGCCAGGAGGGTGGAAATCAGGAACAGAGACACTTGAGTCCTGAAATCTTACTGAAATTAGCCTGTGAGCTTAGTGGACACAATGACGTGTTTGGGTAGGAGACAGGTGGTAAAGTCTTCTGATTCTGATATCTTGGCACCTCAGCTTTGTTCTAATGGGGTAAAACCAGATACATGGGAAGTGGTATTTAATTCCCAAGATTTAACTCCACGAATCAAGACCTGTCTCAAATTTAAGGAAACTTTAAAGGTGGGCTGGACCAAAGCTTCTCTTTTCTTAGCAAATCCTTTATAGACAGAAATGAGATGACAGGAGATTTAAATTCCATCAGACACAAACCAGCTCAACACCCTCAACCACTAGAGAGGCTTCATTTACACAGATACAAAATGTGTGTTAATTAACATAAATTCTTTTCTTGGCTTTTAATTCCGAGTAAAAATCTCCTAAGGATTTTTGCCAAGTCATGCTCTGACGGATTGTGCTTAAAGTATAGACCCACACAGCAGGTTTTGCTGGTTGCTTTTTAATCTCCACTCTCCCTTTCTTCCTGAATAACAAAACACTGAGTTTTACTTGGGTTTATTGCCGCCTAACTGAAAGATGACATTCCCTGGCCTCCCCAACAGCGAGATATACCCTGAAGTACAAGGATGTGAGACTTCTGCAAAGTCTCTCTGAAAGGGAGAGGCTTATACTCTTCTTCTCTTTTCCTTCCTGCTGGCTGGACTCAGGAAGTGATGGCAGGAACTTAGGCAGCCATCCTGGCCTGTGAGGAAACATGTTAAAGGTGGCAGAAGAGAAAGCTAGAAGAGTCCACGTCCCTGATGACTTTTTGTGGCCAGGACTGGCTCCCCATTGACCTCCTTTTTTTATTATTATTATTTTTTTAATGTTTATTTATTTTTGAGACAGAGAGAGACAGAGCATAAACGGGGGAGGGTCAGAGAGAGAGGGAGATGCAGAATCTGAAGCAGGCTCCAGGCTCTGAGCTGTCAGCACAGAGCCCGATGCGGGTCTCGAACCCACGAACCGTGAGATCATGACCTGAGCCGAAGTCGGACGTCCAACCGACTGAGCCACCCAGGCGCCCCTCCCATTGACCTCCTTTATGGAAACATAAATAACCTTGCTTGGGCCTCTCTGGTCTTTGGATTTTTCATTACATATAGCTGAACCTAATCTTAATTGATACACCCACTTCTCAGAGGTCAGCCTTCCTCCTATGCACAGTTTCAAACTGGGGAGGATAGGAAGAAAGCCTCTGCACAAGCAACGACAGCCCTAGCCTTGGAGTCAATGAAGGACAGAACCGTGGAGAATAGTCCACTGTCTACAGTGAGTTCTTATGCTAGAAGCACTGGCTGGGGAGGAGCAGGTCTTATGTGTGAAGATTGAGAGTCCATTTGGACACATTGAGTTTGTGGGGATTTGTTAGACATCCATTGGCAAAGAATGGGTAAAGGGGTCTGCAGTCCCAGGGTGATGTTCAGGCTGGACATGTAAGTTTTGGAAACGCCAGGAGAAAATGGGTGTTTACCAGACCATGTGACTGCAGGAAATCACCCAAGGAAGGAGTGGATAGAAGAGTTTCCAAGGTCTGGGGCACCAGGGTGGCTTAGCCGGTTAAGCGTCCAACTTTGGCTCAAGTCATGATCTCATGGCTTGTGAGTTTAAACCCCGCCTTGGGCTCTGTGCCTACAGCTCAGAGCCTGGAGCCTGCTTCTGATTCTGTGTCTTTCCTCTCTCTTTGCCTCCCTCCCTCTCTCTCTCTCTAACATAAATAAACATTAAAAAAAAAAATAATAAGAAGAATTTCTAAGGACTGAGTCCCAGGGCTTTAGTGTCAGGAGGTTGGGAAGCAGAGGAGGCCCCTGCCCAGAAGACTGAGAAGGAGCAACCACTGGGGTGGCAGGGAGTGTGATCTGTTCCAGCCAACTGAGGACGCCGAGTCCGGGAGGAGAGCACTCAGCTGAGTTGCCTGCTGCTAACGGTTCAAGGAAGAGATGGGGCTGAGCTCCAATCATTGGATTTAACAACATCAGGGTCAAGGATGGCTTTGATGAAGAACTTGGGAGAGGGAGTTGGGTGAAAGCCCGATCAGAGCAGGCTCAGGAGAGAAAAGGCGAAAGGAACTGGAGATAGGAGGCAATGGGGACGGGGTGGGGTCTGTGTGCTGGCAACCTAAGGGAGCAGAGTGGGTGGCAGCTAGAGGGGAGTGGGCAAGATTAGCCAGGCACTCAGAAGAGAACATGCCCCACCACCAGCACACACGGAAGCCTCAGAAGCTGCCTCTGGGGACACTCACACGGACTTCCGCGGACCATTCTAGTCGAGAAGCACCCGAGCCCTGAGACCCCGGGCCAACGAGTCTCAGAGAATGAATTCTCTACCAAGGGAGAAGTTACTTCTACTCCCCGCACCCCAAATCTGCACATCTCAGAACACTCAGAGAAGCGGTGGTGGGTGGGGACAGGGAAAGCTCCAAGCTGTTGGGGGGGCGCCAACTGTGATCTGGATCCTCTTCCTACAGATAAGAACACAGCAGCCTCTTTGTGCCTCAGTTTCTTCAGCTGTCAGTGGGAATTTAAAGTGTCTTGTACTCAACACATGTTTTTAGCTCTGCTTGCCACATAAACAGGTTCTCAGATTTTGGTGATTATCTTAATGGACCCATATTAGGGCATCATTGGGGGCAATAGTGAATATGGGTGAATATCTTTTTAAAAAGCACCGTTTATTGTGGCGATAAAAAAAAAAAAAAAGCACCGTTCACTTTAATCAAGGAGCTGGGAAGAAGACCAAAATTAGCGAAAGTAAGAAGATGGGAAGCAGGAGATGAGGACTGACCGTGGGAAGTTGTTGGAGAGAGGTGCTGATGCTGAGGAAACGCGCCTCGCCCTCCTCCCTGTCGGGTTCCACCTGCTCCCTTCCCCCTCCTACCTGTGTGCTGGCTTCACAGGAGCTCCTGCCGCCAAACCTTCCGTCCCACCTCCACCCGCCGCCACAGCAGATGCCAGGGCCAGCGGGTCCCCCACTTCACTTCTTCTGTTCAGCCGGGACCTCTGCCACCACCCGGACAGGGGGAGCTCGCGCCGGGGTGCAGTTTGGGCGTCGTCACCTAGCAACCGGAGCCACGCACCGGCGCCGCCGGCGGGAAGACTACAAGCTCCAGAATGCACAGCGCCCGCTGTGCGGCCAAGGACGCCGCGCCCAGGGCCCCGCCTCCCCCCAATGCCCGTCGGGACTTGTAGTTTTTCGCCCTCACCGGGAGCGCCGGGTCGCCCTC